TGATATCAGCACATGGTCTCTCCTCTGTCATCCTGATTCTGTTTTCTCATTGCAGCAGGACAGCCACTGACTTTCCCAGGGGTCCCTATGGAGAACAATTCAGAGGCGACAGAGTTCATTCTCGTGGGGTTAACCAGTGACCCAAAGCTGCAGATTCCACTCTTCATAACTTTTCTGATCATCTATTTCCTCACTCTTGTTTGCAACCTGGGGATGATCCTGCTGATCCTGCTGGACTCCCGTCTCCACACTCCCATGTACCTCTTCCTCAGCAACCTCTCTCTGGCTGACATAGGTTACTCCTCAGCTGTCACTCCCAGAGTAATGACAGGCCTTCTCACAGGAGACAACGTCATCTCTTTTTATGACTGTGCCATTCAGTTATTCTCTTTTGGAGTTTTCGCCATTATTGAAAGCGACCTGTTGGTGGTGATGGCTTATGATCGGTATGTAGCTGTGTGCAGACCCCTTCATTATAACACCCTAGTGACGACAAAAGTTTGTGCTTTCCTGTGCTTAGGCTGCTATGTCCTTGCTTTGCTGGATGAATGTATCCATACTTGGAACATTTTCAGGCTCTCCTTCTGTAAGTCCAATGTGATTGATCACTTTTTCTGTGATGTTCCTCCTGTATTAGCTATCTCGTGCTCTGACATACACAGTAGTGAAATCATTATGTTTTTTATAGTAGCTTGCAATGCTTTCTTTTCCCTCACTGTAATACTGTCCTCTTATGTGTTAATATTTGCTACAATCTTGAGGATGCGCTCAGCAGAAGGACGCAAGAAGGCCTTTTCCACCTGTGCTGCCCACCTGACTGTAGTCACTGGCCTCTATGGGACAATCACCTTTGCTTATCTAAAACCCAGCTCTGGACACTCCATGGATTTAGATAAATTGGCATCTTTGTTCTATTCCATAGTCCTCCCCATGCTTAACCCTCTGGTTTACAGTGTGAGAAATAAAGAGGTCAAGAGTGCCTTTATAAAGGTTATTGCGAAGGCAAAGTCTTCTATAGGATTCTTACTCTAATTATGTCGAAACCATCACATGTAGGTTTCATGCAGATCAGACAGAAATATAACTCCAGAAAATACTTATCTTCCTATTCCAAAAATTTCAAAATAATTGAAACAACTTCCCTGCTATACAAAGTGAACCTTCTAAAAATAGTAGATATTAGGGACAAAAACTCAGGAGAAATCACTATGCGCGTGCAATTTTTATTTTAAAATCCTTTATTGCATTTCATTGCTTTATGTGTGTATATAATCAAGACACACTCAATCACATGCCCACACACTCATAACATATCAGAAACCCAGAACAATCTCACACCAATCGATTGAGAAATTATTTAAAAATAAATGACTCGAATCTACTTTTATTCTAGAATTTCAAACCTTATTGGGATGTGATGTATATTCTCAAATATACACTTAAGAAACACTTCAAAAGGCACTAAGACAGGCATCCAGGAATAGAATAGAATAGAAAGAGAATTATTGTTGCTTCTCCATTTCCTTTAATTGATGATTCCATCTCTTTTCTCTTCAGCAGAATTCACTATTTTGAATGTTAAACCAGACCCAAGATTTTATTTATACTCTTACTGCTTGTGCCTATTCGACTTAACAAAATATTGCTTGGTTTGGGACTTGTTTGTGAGCTTTCTAAGCAAATAAAAAAGGAATCAAAGTATGTAAATTGTTGTTTGGGGACATTTCGATTTAACCATATAGATGTTTCTAGTAACTTATTTTTGTTGGTATTTAATATTTCATCATGTGAATAAATTGTGGATTATTTATCCAATATATTGTTTTCTCCTAATTATTACTTCTATGTACTGTACTATGCATCTCCATCCTTCTTTACATGTGTGAGATATCTTCTCTCTTTTTAGGGACGAACTTTGGAGTCAAATTTCTGCATGCGATGGTGACAAGTATGTTCTACTTTTAAGATAATGTGGAGTTGTGTCACAAACTAGTTGTTGCTGTTAGGTGCCATTGAGTTGGTTACAACTCATAGCGACCTTATGCGTAACAGAAGGAAACACTGCCCCGTCCTGTGCCATCTGCATAATTGTTCCTATGTTTGAGGTCATTATTGCAGCTATGATGCCAATCCATCTTCTTGGGAGTCTACCTCGTTTTTTGCTGTCCCTCTACCAAACATGAAGTACTTTTCCAGGGACCGATCTCTCCTGACAATATGTTCAAAGTATTGCCAACAAAGTCTCTCCATCCTTACCTCCAAGGAGCAGTCTGGCCAAACTTCTTCCAAGACAGATTGGTTTGTCCTTTTGGCATGCCATGGTACTTCCAATATTCTTCTCCAGTAAAGTGACTAGATTTTTCTTTTGTCTTCTTTATTTAATGTCCAACTTCCACATGCATGTGACGCAGTTGAAAATACCATGTGTTGGGTCAGGTGCGACTTAGTCCTTAAGCCAACATCCTTATTTTTCTATGCTCTGAAGAGGTCGTGTGCAGCAAACTCACAAAGCAGTGAAAACATGCATTTTTGTAAATCTATGTGAATGTTATTGTTGCTCTCTCTTGAAAACAGCATAGTGTTGACCAATATGAATGTTGTTAATCAAATTATTGTAAAATGGATTCATTTTATATTTCTCTATGAATGCAACAAAGCATCTTTTTATACCTTTATCACTATTTCGCCTTTCTTTCCTGAAGGTAGAAATCCAAATTACACTGCAATTATTCTATTAAGTACTTCCATTCATTTTTGCTTATTAATTTGAACAGCATATATAATTTTGTAAATCATTCCATCATGATTATGTGTTGCAAATACTTCAGCTCACTGTGTGGCTTGTCTTTAGCATTTTCAGGACATTTGGTAAGGCCAAAATTATCTATTTGAATGTAATTGAATATCTCAAATTTTTATTATTAATTTAAATTGTTTGTATCCATTTAGAAAGCCTCCCTAAGTGAAGACACAAGGATATTATTTTAAATTTATTTGCCAAAGTTTGAAACTTTGTCTTTCTAATTTGAGTTTTTTAAACATTTTCATTGGTATACAATTTGCTTACAATATAAGTCAATAGTTCAAGCATATCAAGAAAAACTGTACCATCATCACCACAATCAAGAACATCTTCTTCTTTCTTGTACTCATCTCTTTGAGCTCCCCACTTCCCCCCAATTTCCCCTGCCATTCCCCCAAGGAACCATTAATCCAGCTACTGCCTCTATAGATTTACCTATGAGGAATTTCATATATAGAAAAACATGTTTTAAAACTAACAATAACAAAATAAAACTTATAAAACCTCAATAAAAAACAAAGCAGAAAATAATAGAAAATTAGAACAGATTTAACATGGATTAAAAGGGAGATTAGATGATAATATGCTAAATTTAAACCTAACTGCATCTGCAATAATCCACTTTCCAATGCACTCTGCATGATAACAAACTGTTCACATCCCTGGTCTACTTCATCAAAGTTGCTCTATCTTTTACTTAATATAGAGGTAGAAAGTCAACATATTTTCCATGGGTAAGACATTTTTCCTACATGATTTTTTAAATAATTCTTCTTTTCTGCCCTTGTTACCAATGATTTTTCAAAATTAAATGAGTTTCCATGCCAACCTCTATTTCTGCATTGTCTATCGTGTTTTCATTTCTAGTCTATTTCTGTGTTAACACTTTGCAAATTTCCATGGTTTATTGTAAAGAATGTTATCATTAAGAGCATATCTCTCTTTTTCTTCAGCAAATTCTTGTGAAGTCATCATTCCCTATTCCTCCATCTAGATTTTAAAATAAATTGGTTATATTTCTATGAAAAATATATTGGAGTTGATTTGAGTTCAAAAATAAGTCTGATGGTGGTACAGCTCTATGCTTGCCCTACTCTCATTCGTCTTAGGCGCTTCCCTCTGTGTTCTCTGTGCTTTAACCCTGCAACAATGGCCTCAAACACAGAAACAATTGTGGGGATGGCTCAGGAATGTGCAGCTCCATCCTGCCATACACAGGGGCGATATGACTTAAAACTGACGGTATGGCACATGACAACAACAATAACAAAACAACACATATTTAGTAGCTCACAGTTCTGGAGACTGAAGTGTGAAATGAGTTTCAAAGGGCCAAAAAAATCAAAATCATGGTGAATATCTATGTTGCCTAGTGGGAAAATCTATCCCTTCTCTCTTTGAGATTCCAGCGGTGCCAGCATACCATGGCTTGTGGATGCATTATTTTAAACTCTGCCTTTGTGATTATATTGCCTCTCTTCTTTGGCCAAATCTCTCACTCCCTGTTAAAATGGTATCTGTGAATGTGTTTAGGGCGAGCCAAGATAAACCTGGGTAATCTTCTCAAATTCCTTAATTTAATCATCTGTCCTAAATTCTTTGTTTCCACATGAAGCAACACTCATATATATTCCAGGAGTTGGTCCCTGAATAGAAACTGTGGAGCCATTAGTCAGCCTACCACAGGGCTGTATGGGAACAATATGCACTGTTTTGAAGCCTTTTTTTTATAGCTTTCACATTTTAAGGTAGTTATTTTAAATGATAATGAAAAAAAATGGTCTGGCAAAAGAAATATCCTCATAAGACAGAATTGACTGTGTGTTGTGCCACAGTGCTCACAGAGGCAGCATGGCCTGGTCAATAAATTTAACTTCAATCTCATAGATACTCATATATTAATCCTCTAATCAGCTACAGACAAAAAAGAAGACAGAGGTGCACATGCCCATGAGAGCTTTTAGTACAGAATTAAGTTCCCTCAAGATCAAAATTAAGTGCTTTAAGGCTGTGTATTATAATAGCACAGTGAGCATATTTTAGCTAATTTTTGCTTACTGTTGACAGGTTTTTCGTGTTTACATTCCATGGGAACATTTAGAACCATTGTGGCTATCTGCATAACCAGTGTGTATAAAGCACTTTTTCATTTTGAAGCAAATATTGAGGATGTTTAATTATCACACATTTAATGTTTCTAATACTTCTCTAACTAGTCTTTATTTTCCAGTTTATAAAATACCATTTCTAAATAAATATTATGAAAATGGTTGATTGAGATAGTCCCCTTGATAATATGATTTCCAGAAAGTAGAGAGTGTAAGAACTCTATTCAAAAGTGAAGAATGTAAAAGCCATGCCAAAAAGTGGGGTGTGTAAGAACTGAGCAAGAAATCTTGGTGATGCAACTGTTGAGTGTGCAGCTTTTGTGTTAGTCTGAGTACATTAGAGAAACAAATCCACAGAAACTCATATGTATAGAAGAGGCTTGTATATAAAGGGTAAGTTCACATCAAGAAAACATACCAACCCAGTGATGGCCAAGCCCACACGTCCAACATTGACCCATATGTCCAACACCGATCCACTATGTCCTCCTCCATCTCACAAAACACACAATATGATGCCAACTGCAGGAGGAAAGCCGATTCAGTTAGCATGTAAGCATCTCAGTATTGGCATTGATCTCCACAGGGCTGCTCCAGCACCCAGGGCTGCATCAGGGTAGGTGCATGCGGCTTCTCCTTGGCAATGTTTCATAGGAAGTGAGCCTTGCCAGCTGAAGCAGGGAACTGGCTAAGGCAGCTGCACCCTAGTTCAACCATCACAAAGCAAGAGACCTGAGAACTAGAAAAGCGGAGCTCACCAAGCCATTTATCTCTCCACCCTTCAATTAACCCCACATGTGTTTATCAGCCAGGTTGGCACAATGAACTTTGACTATATGACCTTCTATCAGAAGGGTTGGTAATTCAAACCCAGTACGTGGCTTCATGGATGAACCAGCAGGTGATCTGCTTCAATAAAAATTACAGTATAGGAATGCCTATAGAAAAGTCCTCTGTCCTACATGGAGTTACCATGATACATAATTGATTCAGCAACAGCTAGCAACCCCAAGTACTAATGAGTCTGTAGATAAAAATATTTCAATATTGGAAAAACATTACCAACTTCACATGAAAGGGAAGAAACCGAGAATCAGTAGAGAACTTCTCAAGAGGAAGGAAAAAGTTGGAGGGCTTGCTTTACCCAACTTTAGCCACAGTGGTCAAAACAGCGTGGTACTGGTATAAGGATAGATGGAAAAGGATAGAAAACCCAGAAATAAAATGATTGTCATACAGACAACTGATCTTTGATAAGGGGCCCAAAAATATCAAATGGGAAGCGGATGCCCTCTTCACTTCATGGTGCTGGAAAAAAATGGATACGTAGCTGCAGAAAAATGAAGCAAGACCCTTACCTCACTCCATACACAAGAATAAACTCAAGGTCGATCACAGACCTTGAGGTTAAACCCCAAACTATTAGGGCCATCAATGAGGGAATTGGGTCAAACCTGAGAACCTTGGCACAGGGATTGCATAGGCTATCAGAAATCAGCAAGGACACCAACACAGAGGCACAAATTGACCAGTGGGACATACTAAAAATAAAATATCGAAAGAACTCACC